GAGCTGGGAGGGGGAGCCTGGTGCTGGGCTGGCAGGGGCTGTGGGTCGGGAGTGAGGGGCACCGGCAGAGCTGGGAGGGGGAGCCTGGTGATGGGGTAGCCAGGGGCTGTGGGTCGGGAGTGAGGGGCACCGGCAAATCTCAGGCAGGCTGAGTTCCTGGCACTTGCAGCTGGCCCTGCCCGAGGGGCAGGTTCTTCTACTTTGGAACGATCCCTGTTCTCTCCCCGGGGGGTTCGATCAGGTTGCTGGTACCTGGAGAGATGTGAGAGAGGCTGGGTTTGGGGTTCTGATTCCCAGGTCCGCTCTAACCCACCAGACCCCCTCTGTTCCCATTCCCAGTGCTGGGGATAGAACCCAGGAGTCCTGGTCCCCAGCCCCCTGCCTGCTTTCACCCACTTGACCCCATTGCCCCGTCCAGAGCTGGGGAGAGAACCGAGGAGTCCTTGCCCCCAGTTCCCCCTGCTCTAACCACTAGACCTCACTCCCCTCCCAGAGCTAGACCCCAGGAGTCCTGGCTGCCCTCATGGGGAAGCTCCCGGCTGTACCTGAGCCGCGACGTCTCTTACACACGATAAAAGTCACCAGCAGGGCCACACACACCAGAACTGCCAACGGCACGCCCACGACGACAGCCAGGAACCAGGGGACTGGTCGGGCTGGGGAGAGAGAGGGAACCTGTAATAACCAGCCCCCACGCCCCGCCCCAGAGGTTGCTGCATCTTGGTGCCAGGTGAGGGGTCCCTGCATAACCAGCCCCCACGCCCCACCCCAGAGGTGGCTGCATCTCAGCCTCTCTCATGCCAGCAGGCGGGTGGCACTGACCGGAGAAGGAGACGCTCATGGAGATGGCCTGGTTGTACCCAGGACCCTGTACAGTCAGGGTGTAGCTGCCGGCGTCGGTGCCCCTGAGCCCTGTGATGTGCAGGGAGCAGCCGGGCCCCACCGTCTCCCGCCCCGTGTGGGCCGGGCCGTAGAATTTCTGGGGGGTGGCGGACGGGGCGTAGCTGAGGATCCAGTTTGCGGCAATGCCAGCTTCTGCCCCTCGGTACCAGCTGCAGACCAGGAGGGTCTGGTCGATGCCCAGCACGACCAGGGTCATGTCCCCGCCCACGTCAAGGGTCGCCGGTTCCCGCCTGATGGTGAGTCCGTCCCGGGCTTGCGCCGGCTGGAGGGAGGAGCTCAGGGCGGAGGCTGGGGGGATGGAAGAGGGTGTTATTAACTGGTGCCCCTCACTCCCGACCCACAGCCCCCTGCTAGCCCAGCCCTGGGCTCCCCCCCACCCCAGCTCTGCCAGTGCCCCTCACTCCCGACCCACTACCCACCCCGCACCTGCCAGGATTAGAACCATCCATGCGCTGTATGGGCTGGGTAGGTTCCGGCTAGCGGGGAGAGTCCCCATGTCCTGTCACCCAGCAGCTCCGGGCGTCCAGTCGCAGCCTGCACGGTGTGGGCTTTCGGGGGGGTTCCTCATTCCACGTCGGCCAGGGGGAGCAGGGCGGGGTTGTGGCTGCCGAGCGGGGGGGGGGAGCCATTGCACAAGCCCCCCCATGAGGTCCCCACTTCCCCTTCTGCTTCCTCTGCTGAGGCTGGGGGTGTTGAGTCCCCGGGGGAGGAGCTGCCGGGCATGAACCTGTCTCCCCACCTCCCTGCCCCCCCATGGGGTCATGGCCCCCTCCCCTCTGGGCGTCATAACCCCACTGTGCACCTTCCTGGGCCCCCTCCTTCCCTGCCCCCAGGGGCCAAGACCTCATCTTCTCCCCCCTGCCTCTTGGGGCTCACGGGCCCATTTCCCCCCTTCTCAGTGGGGCACAGTCCCGCTTCCCCCCACTGGTGTCAACGCCTCGTTTCCCCTCCCCCCACCGGTCACAGTCCCCCCTCCTCTTGGGGTCACGACCCCATCTCTGCCCTCCTCAGAGGAGGGGATCCGGGCCCCATCTCTCCCCTTGCCCACGTCCTTTGGGGGGGTCACTGCCCCCACAGGTTATGACCCCACCTTGGGGTTCTGAATCCCTCGCTTCAATTGGGGGTGAACTGCCCCCCCTTTCCCGTTTCTCTCCCGAGAGCCATTAGGACGTTGGCTCTGACCTGGCCAGGGGGTCTCTGCCCTGTGACATCTGCAATGGAAATGGTCTTCCAGCAACGACCACTCCAGACAGCCACGTTCACATGGGCCCCTCCTCTCCCTGCCGGAGCCTGGGAGGGGGACCCCAGCGGCCCCATCCCTGCTGTCCCCCCACCAGCATTAACAGGGGGCCCAGCAGGCTGGCGGGGACAATGGGGCGAACGGGAACATTATGGAGAGCCGGACAAGCTGTCGTGGGAGCAACCCAAGGGGTTCAGGCCCCACGGAGGAACAGTGTGTGCGGGAAAGCCCCGGCTATGCAAAAAGGAGAAATGTCAGGCGGCCGTTGGGTGGCAGATGCTGCCAGGCCCTGAACAGGAACCTGGCATGGGCTGGGATGGGGAGTTCGACTGTTCAGCGCCAGGCAACCGCAGGGGAAGGGGAAACGCAGCCACCGGGCCACGGGGAGGGAGACGGATGTTGCGAAAAGGGGAGAGAAAGCGGAGATCAGGCCAGCGGCAGGAGAAAGCCGTAGGAATTGGGGCTCGGTTCCGTGGAGTCTCAGGTGGATGTGGGTGGGGGAGAACCAGGAAAACACGCTGGGAAAGGCAGCAGAAGAAGGAGTAATGGTCTCACGTTGCAGTGGGGGAGGTTTAGGTTGGATATTAGGAAAAACTTTTTCACTAGGAGGGTAGTGAAGCACTGGAATGGGGTTCCCTAGGGAGGTGGTGGAGTCTCCTTCCTTAGAGGTTTTAAGGTCAGGCTTGACAAAGCCCTGGCTGGGATGATTTAGTTGGTGTTGGTCCTGCTTTGAGCAGGGGGTTGGACTAGATACCTCCTGACGTCCCTTCCAACCCGGATATTCTCTGAGTCTATGAACATGAGCCAGGGGCCGGGGCCGCGGCGCTGCAGCCAACGGGCGAGTCTCTGGACCCGCTTTGTTTAAACCTGACGAGGGGCCGAGGGAATTTTGCAGCTGAAGGGGAAGAGCCGTGTGCTGACCCAGGATTAGCCGGGAGAGGGAGGCGGCTCCAAGGGGGATCCCAGACCAAGAGGACGAACCGACCCGCGGGAACATCCCCAGAGCCTCTGAACACGGCCCAGGGGGAACCCTTGGGGGGAGGGAGGGAAATAACGGACTGGGTGCGGTGCCCTGAGAGCCAGTGGGGGTTTCCTTGGCACCCCAGCTCTTGTCTGGCCCCTTTCCCAGGCAACCGCTAGGGGGTCTCCGAGCCAAACTGGGGGTCCCCCGCCAGCCGAATCGAGGGTCCCCCGCCAGCCGAAGCTGGTTCCACGCCGGGTCACTGGCTTGGGACAGCCAACGTGCGAACTGTGGGGGAACAGGGACCGTGGAGCGGAAGCAGCCGCCGGGCTCTGACACACAGGCTGGTTTGTCGTGGATTCGACTCCCCGGCCAGGCAGGACCATTGGGCCCATTGACCCCCGATAACCACGAGTGCCCCCAAATTCTGCTGCCACCGCTGCCCCGCCCACACTTTCTTTATTGGCAATAACGTGGATAAATGAGCATCCCCTTTCAGGTGTGCAGAGATGCTGGGTTTACGGCAGGCCTCCTGGGTTCTCTCCCCAGCTCTGGGAGGGGAGTGGGGACTAGTGGTTAGAGCAGGGGGAGCTGGGAGCCATGACTCCTGGGTTCTCTCCCCAGCTCTGGGAGAGGAGTGGGGCCTAGTGGTTAGAGCAGGGGGGGCTGGGAGCCAGGACTCCGGGGTTCTCTCCCCAGTTCTGGGAAGGGAGTGGGGTCTAGTGGTTAGAGCAGGGGGGGCCTGGGAGCCAGGACTCCGGGGTTCTCTCCCCAGCTCTGGGAGAGGAGTGGGGACTAGTGGTTAGAGCAGGGGGGGCCTGGGAGCCAGGACTCCTGGGTGCCATTCTTAGTTCTTAGGCCACACCCTGACACCACACGGGGCTCAGTGCAGTTGGCAGTTGTGCAGTCGCCCGGTTTCACACGATGACTGGCAGCTTCCCCAATCCCCCGGCAGCCCCCACACTGCGGTGTCCCCCAGCGTGCACGGCGAGTCCGGCCTTGCGACCTCGGTGAACGGAAGCGCTTGGCTCTCGTGCAATGGACATGCTTAGATGTGCCAGTGTCCTGGATTGGGCAGCATCGGGCGGGTGGCTGCAGCCATGCGCAGCGACGGCTGTTGTGAACTGAAGCAGAAGGAGAGAGACCTGGGCTGGCCCTGATGCCCCAGGCTGGCGCTAGGGGGCACTATGCTGCAGGGGGCAGGGTGGGGGCTCTCCCTTCTCTACAAATACCCAGCGCAGGGGGACCAGCGAGGAGGGCTGGGGTGGTTAGTTCCAGGCACATATTTTTGGCCCTGTGCTGTGGCTATTCCCTGCCCCCCAGGGCTCATCGGTGGGTGGCTGTGGTGTTGCAGAGCTGGGAGACCCACATCTGTGTTGCAGTGGGCATGCTGGCAGCAGGGGGCGCTGTTCCCCCAGCACTTGTCTGCTGGCACCCTCAGCCCCGGGCCAGGCCAGCCGGCTTTCACCAGCCTTCTGCAGCCCTGGGTTGGGCTGGTAAATCTGGGTTTTCTCACAGGTCGGCTGAGGAGAAGCAGGAATTAGTCCAGGGACGTTCTGTGATCCCGGGAGGTCGGGCGCGACGGCCATACCGGTCCCTTCTGGGCGCGGGGTCTAGGAATCGCCAGAGCGCCGCAGACTCTGGTTGGATTGATCGGGAGGCAGGCCAGGGCTAGTCGCCCCCTTCCAGAGATGAGGAAACTAAGGCATGGGCGGGCGAAGGGACCACTGAGGGAATTCAACGCGGCTCCCCTGACTGCCAGGCTGACGCTCTCACCACTAGACTGTGCTTCCTACCCCCTGGTGCAGGCCACCAGCACGGAGCAACCTGCAGATAAATCCCGTCTGTGCCCAGACCCTGAGCTCATGGAAACCAGCATCACTCCAATGGAGCGACGGCCCATCTACCCCAGCTGGGGGGCCGGCCCCATTGACTCGAATGGAGTTACGGCTGGCGGACACCCCTGGGGATCCGGCCCCACTGACCCCAGCTGGGGGTCCGGCCCCATTGACTCGAATGGAGCTACGGCTGGCGGACACCCCTGGAGATCCAGCCCCACTGACCCCAGCCAGAATTCCTGGGTTTTAGGGCCAGGAGAGATCTCCATGCTCAGCTGGTCTGACCCGTGTGGCCGAGCCCAGTGGATTTACCTGCAGTAAATCACTGTTGAATTAGAACCGATCTTTATTTCTCCTCCACTGCTCCAGCAGCGCTCCTGCCCTGCTGCCCCCAGCGCGGGTCGGCAGCTGCGTACAGAGGAGCCCCCTGCCCCCCTGAGACTGAAGGCAGGTGCTTGCCACAGCCATCGGCTCTCATGAGGTCTGGGGTTGTCTGTGCACCAAAGAGCAACTTGTTGGCAGCCCGTAGCAACCTTCAGCATAACAACACGTAAATAGTGAATGGGGGAACTCCAGAATATCGTTAGGGCAGGCGTCACCAGGTGGCGCTGTTACACTTAGTCTGGGCAGGATTTTTCTGACTGTGCGAGCAAGTTGTGACTCGCAGGGAGACGTGCTGGGGTTTTGCTAGTTCTGGGGTGGGGGAATTGTGCAAGGTTTTTGTGTGGAGGGAGGTGTGCAAGAGCAGGTGCGTTTGCTGTGCCCTGCAGCCTCTGATTGGAGTCCGTTCTGGAGGCAGAGTTGCTCCCTGAAGCACTGGTGTTTGGCAGAGACACATGAAAGCGGAGCCATGGTCAGTGCTGGTACACACAAACACACGCGCATGCAGGGACGCTCCTGGGCGATTCCATCTCTGATCATGCTTTATTCAGAGCAGTTTGAAACGCACAGGGGGACTCGGACCATTTCTGGAGTCTCCAGGGAGCTGGGAGCCAGTACTCCTGGGTTCTCTCCTAGCTCTGGGAGGGAAGTGGGGTCTAGTGGTTAGCACGGTGGGGCTGGGAGCCAGGACTCCTGGGTTCTATTCCCTCACAGGGATCTTTGAAAGGCTGGGGGAGAAGCTGTGAGGGGATATTAATAATACACAGCACTTTGCTCCAAACCCAACGGAATTAGCAGAGAGTCTCCTCTTGGCTGTATCGGACTCTGTTTCAAGCCCCTGCCCATCCAGGGATCCCAAAGACCTTTGCAAGGGCAGCTCGCCATTGTTATCCCCCTTACAGAGAGGGGGAAACTGAGGCAGTCGGGACAAAAAAGGCCGAGCGCATCAGTTATACTATGACACCAATGGCCTGGGGAGTGGCCAGTCATGCAGATGGGGCATTAGCAGAGGCATAGCCCCAGAAGGGCAGGGAGGAAAAGGGGCACCTGGGGGACGATGCTGCCCAGGGTGAAGGGACCCCAGGCCAGAGTCCGGGTGGCGCTGCTGGTCTGTGCTTTGGGCGCTGGGCTGCATTGGACCTTGGTCAGTTTGTAGGTGAACACCCCCGATTCCAGTGTCTTGATGCCGCAGGCCACCCGGGTAGCACAGCCCTGGCCTGCAAACGGGATGGCGACACCACCTGTGTAGGGAAACCAGAGCAGATCAGACATGGCACGGCCTAATCCCCTTCTGTGACGCCATGATCGGGCCCCGGCTGGTTCTCCAGGTAAAATAAACCTCGGGGGGGTTGGGGGAACCCCACTCTTCTTCCAGCGCGGTCCCCAAGATGCACCCATGTTTCTTTGCAAGATGCCCTGGCCTCTGAATCATTATCATTGGGCTAGCAAAGGGAGGTCCTGCACGCCATGTGACAACATCTCTGCTATGGCAAAGGGGGCCATGCAGAGCCCGTGGCCTGGGGGTACCCTGCTATGGGGGGCACATGGAGTAAGGGAGTGCAATGTTCTCATCCTAAGAGGCAATGAAGCGGCTGACCCTCCGGGCAGATGTTTCACTAGTCGGACAAGCTTGCAGTCCATTTTTTTTCATGCAACATCTTCCCAAGGTGGCTGTGGCAAGCAGCAGGAGAAATTGGTCTCTGCATGAATCTCTGACTCCAAAAATATTCCCTGAGAACCCTTGGAGTTTGAACAGAGATTAAGGGGACAGCCTGCATGCCATTTACACCCACCTCTGTTCCAGGACTGGTGGAAACAGTGTAAACAAGCAACCTCCCCTAAGGAAATACTAGACTTTGCCCCACGGATTTCTCTTCCAGTGGGAAACTGACCTACAAGGCACCAGAATTCTGCTGCTACTTGGCAAAGGATGGAAAATATTGTTACCCCTTATGACCAGAGCAGTTCACCAAAAATTTGAGATCTTGAGGGTCATTCCCATTAGGAAGAGAATTTGGCATTGGAAACAGGGCTATCTTTGATGGAATCCTGCGTAGCTACAAACAATGTATTTGCCCACCATCCAAAGCCCCTTTCCAGCCACTTTTCTGCCCAAAAGCTCTGTCTTAGCTTTTCCCAAGGCCACATTCCCAGTCCTTGTTCTATCTGTGTCCTGGGCTATTCTGCCCCTGCTCCCTGGTCTTCTGCTTCTCTCCCATGGACCCACCCTCGCCAATCATAGGTTTGGGAAACTTCACAACCAACATGGCTTAGCTTCTGCTCAGTCTTGCCATGTTTGAAATATGCAAAGGGTCACCAAGTCTTGCTGGGATGTCCAGTGGGGGCTGGGAGCCAGGACTCTGGGGTTTGCTCTCCAGCTCTGTGAAGGGAGTGGAGTCTAGTGGTTAGAGCAGGGGAGACTGGGATCCAGGACTCCTGGGTTCACTCCCGGGCTCCGGGAAGGGTGTGGGGTCTAGTGGTTAGAGCAGGGGGGGTGGGAGCCAGGGCATAGCATGATCATGCAGCTCTTTGTTTTGAGTGATGGCCTTTATGGTTTCAGCTGTTACTAAGCAAAGGGGTGTTTCCTGGCTCCCCAGCTCAGCCAGCGCGGACGAGCCCCAGGACACCCCCCAGCTCCCCGGGGATTTAACCCGCCCCAGAGTGAAGAAAGCCGCACCTTGCGCCAGCATCCCGACAACGACAGCACATTGGTCGGCACCTCCAGTGCAGCGCAAGCTCTCGTTGCTCTCACAGCTCTCGAAGCCCGGGGCGTAGCAGGCCGGGCATTGCAGGCCATTGCGGATGTTGCTGATAGCCTGCCCTGAAAGGCAGACAGGGAAAGAACCATTTGCTCCAGGAAGAAACCACGGCAGGAGAACGTAGAACAGGCAGGACCCTCCCAGGTCATCAACCCAGCACTTGGACCCGCTCAGGCAGCTAGCGTGGTTATTTGCCCCCACTCCTCCAACGGGCAGCTGTCCCACCACCCCTCTCCTCTGGCCGTTAGAAACATCCTGACTTCCAGCCTCGGTCGCTTCCTGGCCTGTGTGTTCCCACGCCCGCGTCTTCCACCAACTTTGAACGTTCTTATCCCTCAGGGCTGCTTCCCCCCATTGTGTTCTGGGGCACATGCTGGACCACTCAGGGCTTGTGTCTGCCTTGCTCTGTGTGCATTTGCTCCTTTCAAGAGACAAAACCCAGCAGTTTCCAGTAGCCCTGCTCTGCACCTGGCCCAGTTTGAATTCATCTGCCTTAAATTTGGGGGACCACAGCTGGACACAGTGTGCAAGGAAAGGTCTTACCAGGACAAAGGCTTTAAAACGTCCCTCTCTCCCCTGGACATGTCTCATCCACACTTGCTTCCCATGACAAATAACTTCCCCCCCAAACTGCCCGCTTGCCCCAGGGTCCTCGGAAATCTGGCTTTTCCCCGAGGCCAGGAATAGCAGCTCCTTGGAGGTTTGGGGTTTGACCCAGAGGCTTCCCTGCGGCCACAAATCCGACCCGCCGCCAGTGATACATACTGATGGGCATTAAATGGGCGTTGCAGTCGTTGGTCTTGCAAATTTCCGACCTGATCTCCACGGTCACTGTGGCCCCGAAGTAAAAAGCCAGGAAGCCCGTGAGGCTCTGGCGGGAGTTGGTGCAGGACTGGTACGTGCCTCCATTCCACATGCTAGACTGAAAGGCTGCAGAGCGAGAAGAGGACGTCACGCGCCGGTTACACCGACAGAGCCACCGCAGTGTCACGGCCCCCGTTAAATATTGGTATGAGCAGATCCTTAGAGCAGACCTCCACCCCACCTCATAACCATCACCAGGTGCCTCTGTAGGACCACAGGGCTGGAAGCAGTGGAGGGTTCGTCCCATGGTGCCCTCCCTTCTAGGCTAAATTCCAGCACCCAGACTGGTGTTGCCCCCCAAAACAATGGGGGGGGTGGCAACATCCCACCGGGTGGGGGCAGCTGTCCCTGGATCATCACACTGAGCGGGGCAGGCACTTCCCTTTGGCTGTCATATTGTCCCTGGGGACAAGAAACTTAGTCCCCAGGCCTGGAGAGCCCCTTGCTGCCAGTGGGCTCCCTGCAATCACCTGGCGAGCACCCCATGCCACCACTAGTTGGAAGGGATCTCATCCAGTCCAGTGCCCAGCACTGAGGGTGGACCAAGGCAACCTAGACCAGCCCTTACAGGTGTTCATCCAACCTGATCAGAAAACCTCCGCTGACAGGGACCCCACCCCCTCCTGCTGGGAGTAGCTGGTTGGCTGCCTTTGGCTGCATTCAGACACACGATGGCTAGGAAGCCACCTGGGAAAAGTATCCGAGAGCAGGGTTCCCGCCACACCCCGCAGCTGCCGCGAAAGCCGACGGGACTCACCGAGCGTGTTGTGTTCTTGAACGATGATGCAGGCGTCCTGGGGAGAGGAGCAGATCTGGGGGAGGTTGTGGAAACAGCTTTCTCCAGATTTGCAATAGAAACAGGTCAGAGGCATCCCTGAAAAGAGAGCTGGGGTCGGGGGAGAAACTCATCTTGGTACCCACTACCAACGTCCAGCTTCCCGATTTCCAAATCCTTCCCGGGCCCTGTCCAGGCTACAGCTGTTATAACAGCACCGCTAATGGTGCTGCCAGAGCTTAGATGCTTCCCACACTGGAAGAAGGGGCTGTGATGAAGTGGCCATGTTCTGCATATTTTTATGAAGCTGTTTCATGCCTCGGTTTCCCCTGGACTTGGCATTACTACCCAGTGGCCCGGGGGAAAGGGTTGAGTGTGCAAAAGCCCTTGGAAGTGTACAATAGCGCCACTCACCTACAGCCACCCTCACTCAAGGGGACGCTATTCCACCCCAGGGCTGAGGAGCGGATCAAACCACCAAGGGGCTGTGACGTCTTCTGCGTTCACCCGATGATTACCCATAAACGTTACCCTGCCGGGTCCCAACGGCGGCAGAAAATTTCCCATCCTGGCCATTCGTGGATGGAAAATGGACCTTGGCAAAGGGCTGAATATTCCGACGTCACCACCCGATTGCCTGGGGGCCCAGATGACCCAGAAACTGAGGCGAGGGGCAGACAGGAAAGCAGAGACGTAGTAGTTCTTACAAAACAGGGGTGCATCAACACAGCTTTCACCATCATCTCCAGCTGTTTGCTTCGGGCCCATTTCCCTGTGAGTTCTCCATGCGCAGGTCTCTTCACAGAGGCTCTGAGCGGTGCCCGCACGTGGCCTCGGGGGTCTGAACCCAAGAGTGAGAATGTGGACAGGACTAGAAGAAAATGAAATGGGTTAAGACCAGTAGACAACACTCCAGGATGGCCAGACAGCGTCAGAGCAAAGATGCCTCCAGCCCAGAGTCCTGTCTCTGACGGACGCCAACGCCAGGCGCCCCAGAGGGAATGAAGAGAACAGGGCGATTAGCGAGTGATCCACCCCTCAGCCACTCCCAGCTTCTGTCAAACAGAGGCTATGGGGCACCGAGAGCAGCGGGCTGGTCCCTCACCACGCTGGCTCATAGCCATCGGTGGACCTCTCCTCCAGGATCTGATCTAATTCTCTTCTGAACCCAGTTATACTTCTGGGTTTCACAACATCCCCTGGTGGGGGTGCCATTTAGGGAGCACGGGGGGGGGGATTCTGCCCCCCCCCTCCCAAGTTTGCTACCACAGCGGGGTACAAACAGGAAAATGAACCCCTGCCTCGCGCTCTCGATGGAGGAACCCGCATCCCGTAGCTGGGCTCTGAGTGGGACGTGGCTGCTGGCTGACAGGGCTGTCCCCCGAGAGCTGCACCTACAGCTACGCCCCGCCCCCTCTTGACGCCGGGCTGTGGGATGTGAATCCCCGGCTGTGTGGGCTGCTCTGTGGCCGGGGAGGGGGGAACTGTCTGCGTGGCTCTGTCCGCCCCCACCCTGAGCAGAGCGGGTATAATGAGATCCCCACATGTCCCCTCCGGCTGGGCGTCTGAGAGCCTGGGTGCCCATTAGCCCTCCCGCCAGCCCCCGCAGCCAGCAGCAGCGCTCGCAGCCCCGGCACCAGCGGGCACTCAAAGCCCTTCCTGTGGGGAAATAGCTCCTCGGTCCCCGCGGGTGGGATGGGAGCCGGGGAGGGCAGGTCCTGGGCAGCCTTGGCCCAGAGAAGGGACCTGGTGAGAGCTGAGCTCCAGGAGTCTCCCCCACAAAGCCGGGCAGTTTTATTTCCAGTGTCACCGTTGGTGCTGCCCTGAGACGTTTCAGTCGCTCCTGATGGAAACCAGAGGGTGTTATTGTCTGTACCTCGGCGTCTCCATCAGCAAATACAAATGGTTTCTTTGTTCAATTAGTCTATGGACCTCTGGGACTTTTTCACAGTTCCTGGAGGGCTCTTAATTGTACCAGGTTGATGCAGCCTGGGAACAGGTCTCTTTCCCAACTTCCTTAGTATCTGAGTGTGCCCTAGATATGACATTGCTTAGAGGGCAAATTTGCTTGATAACATTTAAGACGTCTCGTGTCAGATTGTATTTTCCGTAAGGCACGTTGAGAATCACCCAGCTGGGTCACTGCAGGTCCATACTCCAGATTCCTATAAGACATTATAAAACTGAACAGCTTCCAGAGGCTAAAACCGGCTTTTAGATCAGTCCTTCGTAAATACAAGTTCAATTTATCAATTGGTTTTTACGTTTTGAATATTTACACCTTGAGTTCCTTGAACTGGAGGGTGTTTCATTTGTGCTGGGGAATTATCATAGATAAGGACTTTATTTCTAGTTACTGAGTAACTTAATAGGAAAAGAAAACACATCGCCATTGGAAAAAGGTGATAACATCTGTATTTACTGGAAACACACCTTCAGGTGTCCTAGGGCTTATGGGGAACCCATACTGGCCAATCTATTGTCATATTTTCTTTCCAATTCTCACTTTAAAAGCTTTTTGTCTTTTTTTTAAACTAGCGCCAAAACAAATTTCGGCAACAATGTACTAGTTATTCCAATACTTTAGAAGAATGTTTGAGGGAAACTCAACTACTTTAAACTCAATTTTTTCACGAGGAATGAGATACACAAATTAAGAGAGCGTATATTTGCTTGCTTATCGTTTTCCAAAAGGCAATACAAATGGAAATAAACAAATGTGTGGGTGTCTATGGGTGATTGGTGGCACATGGTAAGGACAATGGTATGGAGCAAATATTCTGCATGAATTGTATTCACCAGTTAAAGTTATTAGCTCTTGTATTAAGGCTCCAAAACTCCTACAGGAAAGTAAATACCAAGTAATGCACATTGGAAAACATAATCCCTGTTCTACATACAAAATGATGGGGTCTAAATTAGCTGTTATGATTCAAGAGAGAGATCTTGGAGTCACTGTGGATAGTTCTCTGAAACATCCACTCAATGTGCAGGGTCAGTTAAAACAGCGAACAGAATGTTGGGAATCATTAGGAAAGGGAGAGATAACAAGGCAGAAAATATCCTATTGTCTCTACAAATCCATGGTGCGCCCACACCTTGAATACCGTGTGCAGATCTGGTCACCCCATCACAAAATATACATATATATATACTGGAATTTAAAAGGTACAGAGAAGGGCAACAAACATGATGAGAGGGATGGAACAGCTTCTGTATGAGGAGAGATTAATAAGATTGGGACTGTTCATCTTGGAAAAGAGATGACTAAGGGGGATATGCTAGAGGTCTATAAAATGTTGCTGGGTGTGGAGACAGTGAATAAGGAAGTGTTATTCACTCCTTCTCATCAGATATCCAATGAAATTACTAGGCAGCAGGTTTAAAACCAATAAAAGGAAGTATTTTTGCACACAACCCAAAGTCACCCTGCAGAACTTGTTGCCAGGGGATGTTGTGAAGGTCAAGACTGTAACAGGGTTCAAAAAAGAACTAGATACGTCCTTGGAGCTAAGTTCTATTAGCCAGGCTGGGCAGGGACGGTGTCCCTAGCTCTGTTTGCCAGCAGCTGGGAATGGGCGACAGGGGATGGATCACTTGATGATTTCCTGTTCTGTTCATTCCCTCGGGGGCACCTGGCATTGGCCACTGTCGGAAGACAGGATACTGGGCTAGATGGACCATTGGTCTGACCCAGTCTGGCCGTTCTTATCTTCTTATGACCCCTCAAGGCTTGGGGTTGGGAATATCCTGCTGTATTATCTCCTGATTGTTCTAAATTTACACATAAATGTAAACCACAGCTTTAGGGGGTTGTAGAGAGATTTTTCTTTCTTCGTATAGGAATTAGGCACAGTGCTCCCGTCAGCTAATTTCTAAGTTATCTGCCAAAAATCTGGAGTTGTCAAGTGCCTGAGGAGCTCCCGGAACGATGGTTAAAGTCGCGCGCTCCCAATCTGAAACAGCGTCCCTGCAGGGAGTTCCACAGGCTAGCTGTGCGCTGGGTGAGGTAGGGCTTCCTTGTGTTTGACTTAAACCTACTGCCTAGCAATTTCATCGGGTGACGCCTGGTTCCTGTGTTATGAGAAGGAATAAATAACACTTCCCTAGTCACTTTCTCCACACCCGTCATGATCTTATAGACCTCTATCATGTCCTCTCTTAGCCGTCTCTTCGTCAAGCTGAACAGTCCCAGTTTTATTAATCTTTCCTCGTACAGAAGCTGTTCCATCCCCCTAATCATTTCTACTGCTCTTCTCTGCACCTTTCCCAATTCCAATGGATCATTTTTGAGATGGGGCGACCACATCTGCACGCAGTATTCAAGGAGTGGGCGTCCCATGAATTTATACAGAGGCAACATGATTTCTTCTGTCTTATTGTCTATCCCTTTCTTAATGATACCCAATATTGTTAGTTTTTTGACTGCCGCTGCATCTAATGAAGTAGGCTCTAGCCCACGAAAGTTTATGCCCAAATAAATTTGTGAGTCTCTAAGGTGCCACAAGGACTCCTCGTTATTTTTGCTGATACAGACTAACAAGGCTTGTGCACTTTCTCTGCACCACTCATGATTTTACAGACCTCTCTCCTATTCCCCCTTAGCCGTCTCTTTTCCAAGCTGAAAAGTCCCAGTCTTATTAATCTCTCCAATATGGAAGCTGTTCCATACCCCTAATTATTTTTGTTGTCCTTTTCTGCACCTTTTCCAATTCCAATATATCTTTTTCAGATGGGACAACCACCTCTGTACGCAGTATTCAAGAGGTGGGCGTACCATGGATTTATATGGCGGCAATATGATATTTTCAGTCTTATTATCTATCCCTTTCCTCCTCAAAGAGTAGCTAATGGTCAAACTGGGAGGGCATCTAGTGGGGTTGGTCCTGGGCCAAGTACAATATTTGGATTAATCGTAGAATCTCAGGGTTGGAAGGGACCTCAGGAGGTCATCTAGTCCAATCCCCAGACAGATTTTTGCCCCAAATGGCCCCCTCAAGGATTGAACTCCCAACCCTGGGTTTAGCAGGCCAATGGTCAAACCTCTGAGCTATCCCTCCCCCCCAGATAACAGAGTGGGGTGCACAGGTCTGAAATCTGCAGCTGACACCACGACAGGAGGGATTGCAAGCACTTTGGAGGGCAAGATGAGAGTTCAAAACGGCCTGGACAAGTTGGAGAATTTGCTCCAATATCAACAAGAGGAAATTCAGAGCAAAATACGTCACTTAGGAAGGGAGGACCCAACGCACAGCTACAAACTGGGGGATCGCTGTATGGTGGGAAGGATCTGGGGGTTGACGAGGATCCCAAATGGAACCTGAGTCACGAAGTGATATAATTGAGACAAGAGCCAATTTCGTGCTGTAGGAAAGATGGGAACAAACTGGAGAGAGCCCAGAGGAGAGGGTGGCACCGGGACCCCCATCACGCCAGGTGCTGCACAGACCCTGACCGACTAAGGGGTCCCCCTTGTGCCAGGCAGGGCAGACACCCCGACAAAGGTCAAAACGCTCATTGTGCCAAGACTGGGCAAATGGAAGGCATCACACTTCAGGCCTGTAACAAAAGCCAGTGAGCAAGAGTGGACGGAGAGGCGCAGATGGAAACACAGAAAGGAAATTGAGACCAAGACCTCTTGCGTTTGTCATGGGACAGGAAGCTGGGTCTGTTCTTGTCCTGTGACTCGGCTGGGAAGCCCGTCTAGCTTAGGTGTGATCTCCGCAATCACTTAGTGCACCAGTGTTATTAAGCTGGTGCCCCTTTGTCCAACGGCAGCCCGGGCTCGCATGTGGATAAGGGGGGTCTTTTGAAGGATTTATTTAAAAAACTGTATGTCTGAAGATCCAAGCATTTAAGGCTAAAGATGAATACTCAGACTGTGCATCTACAAATCTATGCAAGGATTTTTTAGAGATGTGATTT